AGATTCCTGGTAAAGGAAGTGGAAACAATAGAATGGGAGTTAGGAAATTTGGTTTTAATTCTGACCCGATCCTGGGAAGCTATACCTCTTTCAGTGATTATTAGGACTCTCAATGCAGGCGAAGGCAAATGGATTGGAAGTATTTTAGGTCACCAGATCTTATTTAGCATTTGGAAAAAGCGGGGATAAAAGTAATGAGCTGAACTGAGGCTTGATTATTGGCCATCTACACTCCAAATAGTTCATGTGATCATGAAATGGTGTTCTTAGGCTGTTTCCAGGAAATCAGTGAAAACTAGTTATTAGCACTCCTGTCTTCCAATAAGTCAGATACAGTCTCTGTACAGGTCCTAGAAGCTTGTTCTGATGGTATAATCAGAGGTGGTCCATCCTTTAGGAGCTTGTAATAATCATTGTCGATATTCCAGGATGTTGATGTGTGAATCTAATGAGAAGTATTTTCTAGTGATCAGAACATCGTTACTTTAGGCATTCACTTGGGAACACTATTTTGTTCAAGTATTCACAAATACTTATTAAATTTCTACAGTAACATTCTCAACCCTATGCTAAAAAAAACTGTATTAGTGTAGGAATCAGGACTAGAAGACAAATTTTAAGCAAAAAAACAAAAAAAAAATCTGGGCACCATAGATAGAAGCAGAATAAAAGAAAATGGACTGTATTGAGAGTTGTCTATTCAAGGCCTGGAAAAGGCTGGTAAAATCTCTTGGTCCTACAAAAAATAAACTTTTTGCTAGTTGAATGTCCCCGACACTAAATTCATTGTTTTACTCTGCACAGAACAGTACTGAATCCTTAACATCATCTTCAGGGTTTGAAGAAGTTGATTAAATTTCAGCTTTTATATATGTATATAAAGTCCGGTACTAGATCTCCCTTCCTGAGAAGATACTCTTGTTAATTTTATTGGAACTGTTACCCAGATTTCTTCAACCATATATTGATGATTATATATCTAGAAATAGTCTCTTACGGGACTTCTACAACTTTTACCCATCTGCAACATCAACCATTATGCAGTTTGATATTAAATATATTCAACAACCAGTATACTAACAATAATTCTGTTTGTTTTCATACATCATCTGGATAAATCAAACTATTTTTGCAAAACTGCTTACCAACTAATATATATTATAGTGCAAAGCACTTATCAAATCAATCTACTACTTTTCTACCATTTGTTAATTTTGATTAATTGTTTCACCACTGGTACCACTAGCTAAATGTGTGAGATCATTTAAAGAATTGCAAAAAATATATAATGACTTTCCCATCAGGGAATTAGTATTTAATAACAAGGGAATTTCTCTTTATATAGATAAGTTTTCTTTTTGGTCTTAATCCTCTCAACTTCTGAGGAACTCACAGCAATGTGTATACATATGTAATGTTATAATAATTTTTTAAAATTGAAAAATATAGTATTGATATTATTGACAAGTTATAAAACTATTTATTAGACTGTAGCTTTTGGTTGGGTCAAATTTAATTGCTCCTATCAAATGAAAGATGCTATAGTCCAATAGTTAAGAATGAAGGCTCTGTTGACACATTATAGTGTTTTAAAACTACTCGTTTAAATAACTTGCCTTTCCATCAATTTCCTCATCTATAAAATGTGTATCATGTGGGTAATGATTATAATACTTCAATGAATTAGTATACCTTTATAAGATTTGCTGGCATAGAATTAGAGCTGTACTACCAGCACTCTTATTTCTATGAACAAAATATATGTTGTTACTAGTGGAAAGTGGCAATTGGATGGGTATTTAAAAAGCCATCCATAAAATGGAGTGGAATCTAATGGCAAGGGTGAAAGCCACAGCTCCTATACATTTATAGGATGGTGTTATGAGACACAAATAGCAGAGGTGGTTAAAGGTCTGAGAGATCAGAACCTGGCATTTGTCTTGTGGCTACCAGACCTGCTATGGCCAAGGAGGTCCATAAAAGTGTCAGCTGATATGAATAAATCAAAGGACCTGGTGTGTCCCAGTGGTGCACTTAGGACTGCCTGGGATTGGGGTGGGTGGTCAGACAAGGTTCTAGCTGATCCTCTGGGTTGCTCAGGGGAAGCCACCATGGATGCAGGAGCCTAAATTTTCAAGGTTAACTGTGGCAGACACAAAGCCAGGTTCCTTTTGGGTTTCATTCATTTTTTTTTTCTTCTTTTGCTTGTGGGACAGGGCAGGGGAGTCTCCAGGGGTGGGTAGGGACAGATCAATTTGGGAAAAATGTGGGGGCTCAGCATAGCAGTTTCATATGCACTTCTATGAAAGTACTTTAATTTTTCTGGCATGTATAGTATAGGGTATGTACCAGCTAGATAATAATAGGTTTTATAGGGAAAATTTGTGCAAGTTTTTCTCCTTTTGTTCTGCCATTCTCCACAATTTGATTTTTCATTTGTATCTTTGCATCTTAAATACTTCAGTTTCCGTAATGAAACCCATATTTTGCAGAAAAATTAGAATTAGAAGAATCCTTTTAAAGATATTGGACCTATAATCTTTCCTATATTGACAGTGGGGAGGTTACTTTTATGGTAAAATTATCCCACAATGAAAACTTTCAGGAAAAATATCCTATAAGAAATAATGCATACTGTATACCTAAAATGTACCAATAAACTCAATTTAAAAAAAAAGAAATAATGCAGAATACTTGCTATCAGGTTTGTTATCTTTTAAAATATATCACTCTTTGTGTCTTAGGGGAGGTTGGCTTATTTTTCTTTGGCTTATTTTTCTTTCTTCCTATCTATCTGCTATATCTTGGATCATAAATATCTTTCAAAATTTCGTGTGCTGAATTCTTAGTTCCCAGCTGGGAGCTATTGGGAAATGGTGGAAGATTTAGGAGATGTGTTTGGGTGGGGGTGCAGTTCCTCAGGTCATAAAGGGCATGCCCTTGAGGGGAATAATGGGATCTCAGCTCTTTTCTCTTCTCATTTTGCTTTCCATCTGTAAACTGGTTTGCTCCACTAGTCCAGCCATGATGAGCTGCTGCAAGCTCAAAGCTATAGAGCCAACTGATCATGGACCGAAACCTTGAAAACTGTGAGCCCAAACAAACCTTTCCTTTTTATAAACTGACTATCTCAGATTTTTTTTTTATAGTTAAAGAAAACTGATTATCTATCACGTATCATTTATTTACTATATTGGGGTTTTTCAGATGTTTCAATAAGGAAAAGAGAAAATTCCAAGGTCGGAGTGTTATCTATTAGGTTTAGAAAAGAATCAAAGTTGAAGAGAAAAATGTATGGCCAAGAAGACCCTAAAAATCAGAAGTAGACTCAGACTACTATGCTTAAGCTATTTTACTAAGAGGTCACTAAAAATTTAAAAGGCTGAACTATGTTCTTTATAAGAAGGAAGAATGGATGAGGAAAAAGAGCATCATTGGGGTACCATGAGGGGAAAAGATAGTGGACAAAGATTTCCACTGTGGCATCAAGGATGCCAACAAAGAATTATCAAAGAGAAATTAAAATTCTCAGAAAATCAATCAGAATTGCTTCTCAGAGTTGAAAAGTTTTTTAAAAATAAAATATGTTGCTAAGGTTTTGTTTCTTAGCCGGTGAAGTAAATGGTCTATTTATTTCAAAACATTTAAGAAACAAATGTTGAAAAGAAAGGAAATCCTAGTTTTAAACACCACATATTTGTTATTTAGAAATTTTTTCTTTGGAGACTTAATGGTAGCTACTAAGTGTGACTATATATACATACACACACATACACACACTATAGTATTCTTTTTGCTAGTATATTTACAGTACATAATGATTGCATTCATCTTGGGTAGTTGGTACATGTACATAATACATTTTTTTTTTTGAGACTGGGTCTTACCATGTAGTGCAAGCTGGCATCAAACTTACTATATAGTAGCCCAGCTGGCCTTGAACTCATGGTAATCCTCCTGCCTCAGCCTCCCAAGTGCTGGGATTTAAGGTGTGCACCACCATAACATATCTTAATTCCTTTTTAATCCTCTTCTGATCCATACCACACCCACTCTCCAGCTCAGGGATCTATAGCTTTTTAAAAAAGATTTTCCTTCCTGTTTTCTATTACCTATTTTGCTCTTTGATTTATTTATATTTTGGGTTATTCATAAAAGAAAACCCATGCAATATTTAACTTTGTGTGTCTGCTGTATTTCATTTTTTTCAATTTTTTGGGTACGTGTTTATGGTACATAATAATTACATGCATTGTGGGGAGTTGGTACATATACATGACATTTTAATAAGTTAAAACCCATCCCTCCCCTCTCATACCTCCCTTTTCCTTGCATCTTTCGCATTCCACATATACATGCACTATATGAAGACATCACGTTCCTCGAAGGGACTTGGTGTACCTACTCAGCACCTCACAACTCCCCCCACCACCACTTCTGCAATCTAATTTTTCCCCTCCCTCCCCCTTCCAGTCTCTTCATTCCATTCTCATATGCCAAAGTTTCATCTTACTATTTCCTACTCTTATTTTGCATTTTGTTTATGTACTATTTACATAGTGAGGTTCTCACATGAGAGAAATCATGTGATATTAAAGTGCTGGTGTGTGCTTGTTATGGTCTTAAGGTACATCCATTTTTTCTTTTTTACAAATGACCCAAAGTTATTCCTCTTTATAGCAGAGTATTACTCCATTACTATATTTTCTTTACCCATTCATCTGTTGAACATTCAGGCTGCTTCCAATATTTAGCTATTATCAATTGTGCTGTTATAAAATAGGTATGAATGTATCACTCTAATACAAAGTCATAAACACTTTTGG